GATGAGTTATTTTTTTCAGTGTTGTTAAGTTAGGTATTAAGTATGTCAAATATCAAACCAGATAATGTCACCAACTAACTGTCTGTATAAAAATCAGTAGATTGGTGGATTGACTGTATCTTACTCTTTCTTAATTTAATGATATTTATTCAATAGAAGTCGTTTATCTTCAAGAGCTACTAATTAACCTATAACTTTTTGTTAGTTCCACCGAGTTTGTGTTTACTCTTTCATTCTCGAGGCTACGTGGTACATTTTGATGCCGCTAACTTTGTTCCCCTGGAAAATTCACATTAGGAAGCTGTTTTATTAATTCAGAAATTTGATATTAACACAGAGCATGAAAAATAGTGAGGCCAATAGGATAAGTCTCCAAACTATATGAACCATCTTAAGGAGCATTTTCTAAATGTGCACTTAAAGAGAAGATTGAAAAAAAGTGACTATCCAGGTGATCTAAAGAACTGGAAATATGAATAAAGAATGATTAAGAAGAAAAAAATATGTGAAAAAATATCTAGTTTCTTCTCTTTTTATTATTAAAAGACATAATATTTGAAGAGTAAAGAGTACTTCACTGATTAGCTGAATCTGGCAACATTTTTAAAGGAGTGTAAGGAATTTTGCTTGTGGGAGGTCAGCTGATAGGTAGAATTAGAACCTCCAAATCTTATAGCAAGCATTCGTCTAAAATTCCAGGCTCTTGGCTTCCAATTTGGTGCTCTTTCTACTACATTCTCATGCCTCTCTCCCAGGAATCATTTTTTTTTGTTGTTGAAAATTTTGCTCTAATTTGTACATCACTTGGATTTTTAGGAGGAAATACATATGAGTTGTTTGAATAATTGTGCCACTATTGTATTAACATATGTACACGTGGACATAATTCTCCTCAAGGTTTTTAGCTTGCCATGCCTTACACCTGTCATATAAATACTAGACTTATTCTAAATAAAAATGTAGATTTGCAGGGAGTTTCTAGAATGGATGTAATTTATCCAGGCTTGTTTAATACCCACAATGTGCTGCCCACTGACCTTACCCTTTGGCTTTCTGGGGACAGAGGTCCAGGTTCATAAGAGCCCTGTTGGTTGACGACTGACAATCCCACACCACTGGGCAGTACGTGATTAATGATCCCCAGAACTCACATGAGCAGTTCCACGAAGCGGACATTTTTATTCAGGGCTGCAATCTTGTTCATATCTTCTTCAGTGAGAGAAAAGTCAAAGATCTGAAATAGCAGAAATAAAAGACAAACATTTATAGTGATAGAAGATGGGCCAAGCTTGGGATCAGGGCGGGGGCCAGCAGTGGGAACTCTTCAAAGATCTGTGAACAGCTCTGCAAATGTGTAAGAGGAGCTGGCCTAGTGCTGGGGGGGTGAGGGGGCACCCACCCAGGTGGAGCTGGCATTCTCTTCTGCCCTTTGTTTTTAAGACAATTCTGCTGGGGACATCTTGCAAGAAATTCCACATGTCTGGAAACAACATATGTACAGGACATCTGAAATTTCAAGAGGGAAGGATTCTTATTTCTGGATAAGATGCTGAACT